ACCCTCTCCGAGGCTGCAGATAATGGTTGGATAAGCAAGATTTTCTTGCATGCTTTTGCCCAATTTGGAATCTCTTGTTCGTGAATCTCCCACCAGGTTAGAACATTAATATCAGGATTGACTTCAGTAGCCGCAGCAATGTAAGTTGGTAGTTCCCTTTGGAGGCCATCAATGCATGCATCACTGTTCAAGAAAGGAACTTTCCTTAATTGATCACTTAAAATTGCAGCAGTGGGCTGAATTTCTGCAATTTTGGTTGGGTTGAGCAGGCGTGCAGTGTCGCGTTCCCGAACCGAGTCCTTGTTTGCTTAAGTATCGATTCGGAGTTTGGCGTGATCAACCACACAACTTCTGATTCTTGATTATTGGTTTATGAGATGAATTGAAGTATGCGGTGAGAACTAGGGGAAATTACAGAGACGCGCGTTGTGCAACAAATAAGTAAACGAGAAAGAATCGATGGACAAACTAAATGATGAGCGAAAGCAACAACAAAATGGAAAAAACTTACGTTATAATCCTTATTATCCTTCTAGGGGGAGTGGCACAGTACAATATCTCTGATGGTGATCGAATATCTCCACAAACTGAATATAGGGGTGTTTGCATTCTCTCCTCTAAAAATAGTACGATCGGGTTCCATTTTCGAAATACTAAAGAACCTACTAATAATCATTAACTTAAAACATGCGTAATGCAAGGCTTCTTATCCGTCACATGCAGCCTTGAATATTTCAACAGCTGGCTGTAACTGATCTCCATTATTCAAAAATTTAGATGCGAAGTTATCATTTGCTGGTTGAATACAGGCCATTGCATAGGCCTCTGACTGTCGCGGAAGAGCAATGTTTCCATAAGCAATGTTTCTTATAACAGCACTGCAGTTTGGAAAGTGTAGATTTCTCATCTCTGCCTCCAACTTTCTTACCATCTGATATGCTTGCAAGCATAGAGAGTCATCACCTTCAAGCTGATATGTAGACTGAACAAATGGCTTCATGGCATCGACTGTGATTGCCAGCTCGACTTTGAGTATCCTGCAGTTTACGTGTAGTCACTTCTGGTATCTGACCTCCATTGACAAAGGCTAGTATATCACCAAAGAGATCATGCACTTGCACCATCATCTCATACTTGGACCACCATCTGGTCTCTGAGTAGGACTTAGGGAACTGTCCAGTTGTTGCTTTGAAAGCATTTCTTCAGCGGGCACTGTGTGAAACAAGGCTGACCCATGACTTCATGAACTTCTCAAGATTTGGTGTAGCCATCTTTTCACCAACATGATCAAGAGTATGACTGAAACAGCCAATGTCCACCAGGTTTGGGTACAAGATCTTCAGATGCCTTATTGCTACATTATTGACAGATGCACGATCCCTTGCAGCAGCAAGTAGAGAGCTAGGTGAAATTGAAAAGTCTACAGACGGAGTACTTAGTAGTTGGTGTGCTAACTCCTCCCCATTCATAGATTTTGTAACTAGAAGAAGCTGAATCAATCGCTGGTGAACTTTCCATTCAATAACAAATCGCAAAATAATATTCGGGGCCTCGGCAACATGAGTTGTCCCATCAAAAATGATACTTGCATCCCTTCCTTCGATTTCTTCTTTTACTTTCTTCCTTTCATCTTTGCCAATGTCTCTCTCCCTTGCTTCCTTCTTTTCAAGGCGTTCTTTTCTAGAAGCATGCTTTGAAGATTTCACATGATTCTCTGTTATTGTCTTTTTGAGACCAATTTCTTCGCGGCAAGCATTGGAAAACAGTTGACCATTTGACTTTGAAATGGTAAAGTTTTCACCTGGAAACTCTGTAACTCTGGCAGAAGCTGTCACATTTTTTTGTGTTAGACTTTGATTTAGGTGGATGAAAGCGTTTGCCATGTTTCGGGAGATTGCATTACACCTTCCTCTTCCTTGCTAGATCTGACGCTGTCGGGGATTTAAGTCTGTTTAGTATTGTGGACGTAGCTGATGTCTCTCTCTCTTGACTCTCTTCCACTAGCACAACTTCATCTGCTGATAGTTTTGATGGTTCACCCAAATAGCCACTGGAAGTTGAAGAACTAGCGTAAGTGGCGTTGCCGTCTTCCACCATTTTGGAAATTGGAATATATTAAATGAGTCCCAGACTCCCAGTCGCCCCACGTTGCCACGTCCGTTTCCTGTGGTGAAGGGCAGTCTAAGCCCTAGTCTATTGTCACGTATATTTCTCCACAGGAAATCAGGAATCTCAATTTTGAGATTGTACCTAACTCCGATGTATTTATTTTCGATATTTTGACATTTTCGGGAATTTTTCTTACTATTATGCTGGCATAATGCTCGATGCTGATTCCTCACTATTATGCTCAAAATTATGCCGGCATAATGTGGACAACGCTAGTCAACGTGAGTTGAGGTACCAGGTGAAATTTCTTTAATTTGATTATTTGTTGCCTCTTCGGTCTGGGCGATATCCAGAGCGGTGAATACCTCCTCCCTGAACTGTTAAAAAAAGTTGGGGCATAGCCTGCTTTGTGAAGCATAGTTAAAAAAATCTGTATGACTAAGCCTAATGTTTTGATAAGTGCTTGAAATGGGATGTAGGCTGCAGCAGCAGAGACAAATAATTTATGAAAGGATTTAGGATTTTTGGACTAAGTACATGTAACCAACTCATGTGAGCTGTATAGAGAATGTGATTTCGAACCTCCCTTACAAGGGGGCACCACTTCTATCCTAAAATTTGTAAACCTTTAAAATAATGATTTGGGGCCATATCAGAAATCCCCCTGGAAATGAGGAAAATTACCCTCTCACCATAATTTCCCAAAAGGAAGAGGTGATTTTTTTTCTGGAATCACTGAAAAAATTGTAAAAAACTGTTCTTTGTAAAGTCAAATCCAATCTTTGATTTATTTGTCACCTGTTTCTAAGTAACTGGTTAACTGTTACAACTCTTATTGCTAACCCTAGTTTTGCTGAAGGAAGTGTAGCTCCAAAAAATCTCAATACTGCCCCCATAGAAAGGATTGTAAATGCCTGGAGATGAAGGGAAGGGGAAAGGGTTGGGTTCATAAAGACCAAAAACATTAAAGAAACATTTGAAGGTTAATTGCATTTCCAGATGCTGGGAGATGGGTGGGGGGGTAAGAAAAATCTTCTGGGGGGGTAAGGAAATGTAATGGAACTACACAATACTAACAGGCAAGGTATAGTTTCAATATAGTGGCCCTCTAAAGTTTGTAAGAAGGCAGCAAATTGTCCATATTTGGTTTACTGAACCAGCCAACGAAAGTGGCAAAACTTTTTCAAAAATTTGGTATTCTTTGATTCGTCTGATTGCTCGCTCGACGTGAATACGGAGGTGGGCAATTTGTTGTGTTTCTGTTACTTCTTTTGAGGTGAACTGCAAAGACTTTGTCTTAGACAGGAAAGGAGGGATTGTCAATGTCGCTTTTTGGGGTTGTAATAAATCTTGAATCAGAAAACCCTTATCTGCCATGACCTCGTTTCCTTCTTCGATAAGTGACAAAATTCCACTATGCCTTGTTATCTCTTTGTCTGATATACTTCCCTGATATAAAGAACTTACAAATGTTACTGCACCATGAGGAGCTATTCCCACGAGGCATTTAAGGGTGGTATGCGACTTGTATGCAGAGTAAAATTCTGAGTTCAGAACCTTAGAGCTAGGCCTTTGGACTTTGATCTCAGTGCAGTCTGGGATAACCCTTGTTTTAGGGTATGTGGTTTTGAAGCACTGAGGCATACTATTTTTTATCTGAGCAGTTGTGGACCAAATTGGCACTTGGCCAAGCATTGTATACAGAAAATTTGCCCAAGTTAAAATGATTCTGCTGACAGTACTTGTGCTAATATTGAATCTTACTCCTAAGTCTGTCTCCAGCAATCCCAACCTTAGTCTGATCATAAATAAAAACAGTTGGTCATAGAGTGACAATGCAAAATTGCCACTGCTGCGCCTCCGCTTGTAGTTTTCTTTGCCTCGTTCACGCTGAATCTGGGACCATTTTATCATGGTTTTAGCATAAGGTTCAACCTAGCTATAAAAGCTATCAAATCGTTCCTTTGATACAAAGCCTGTGTAAAATGTCAGCAATTCAGAATCTTTGGAAATGTTTTCAGCTCCAAACCTGGTCCCTTTTAGATCTTCCACCTGTTGCTCTAAATCACTGATTTGTGCTTTAAGGATTTCAATTTGTTCCACTGCACTCAATTCTGCAGGTTCTATGTTTTCATTTTCCGGTTCGTCCGTAGCCATTTCTTCCATTTGCTCATCACTAGCACTGGCTCCCTGGCCTCCTGATCCAGTCTCCCCTTCCTCCATTTTGACATCCTGCTGGAATGAATCGACAAAAGATTGTCGTCGCTCCTCTTGTTCTTGCTGTTCTGCCATAGTTTTTAACTCTTGTAGTTTATTTTGTGGGTGGTCTTGGCTGGACTTTGTCCACTGAAACTGCGAAGGCACAACTCCTGGTTTCAGACGTATAAGCCCTGTTATAGTTTTAAACATATCGCTTGGCTTGAAGTGAGCAGAACACACTAGAGTAGAGCCTTTCTTGATCTAGGAAACGAGTTTAACACTCTGAATTAAATCGCTGATAACAAGGGAGAATCTCATGGAATATTAATAATCATATTCGAGTCAATGAAAACAAACAAACCGGTGCCATGTGCGTTTGACAGTTTCGGCCAAAATCGACCAAAATCTACTGTAATGAGTCTATAGTTCCTCTGGATATGAATCGAGTACGCAATTCACGTGTAAGAAGCAAGTAAGACGGGAACTAACTGAGTCTTAAATCGAAAAACGTCCCGAACACATATATCAAAAGTGCACACGTGCGTTTGACAGCTCGCTGATAGTCACAACTCGACACTCAACTGAAAAAGCGTCCCTTCATCTCGCTTTATCGCGGCAATCCACTTCGATCTCTGTGAAGAATTTTTAGGAAAGTTGAAAAACGACAAATTCTGACCACTTTCGTTTCGTTT